TTCCTGCCCCCGCAGCTGGCTCCTTTGCTTCCTTCAGGATTTGCTCAAATGTCACCTTACCTGTAAGTACCCTGACCGTACTTATGTAACACAGCATCATCCCCTCCCACCTAAGTCTGTCTGACCTACCCACTAGAGCATGAACTCCCCAAGAGGATGGATCTTGTTTGGATCTCCCCAGAGTCTAGAACAGTATAAATTCTCCAAGAAGTATTTGCTGAATGAATGGGGGGTGGGAGATAGGGACAAAAGGCATGAAAGCACTTGGCCGTTAAATAATTTTGGGGGCAAGAAAACAGGAATGGGACATGGGCTAGCGTTACTAGATGTTGAAAGGGTCACAGGCTCGAAAGACTTGGTGTGGCTTTACTGTTACAATCCATCCCCTTCCCTGCTACACTTCAGAGGCTGAGACTACTGGTCATCTTGTGTACAGCAGAAAATTTAAGATTAAAGATTTCAGGTGCACCACAGACTTACCCTTCTCAGAGAGTCTGAAGCTAACTGAAAAGGCAGGCTTATGGTTAAAAATTTAGAATACTAAGATCCAGTATTCATACAATAGGGTGAGTTCAGTTAATAATTTATTGTATATTTAAAAATAACTGAAGTAGTGGAATTGGGATAATGGATACCCTGATTTTATCATTACTCACTGTGTGTCCTTATCAAAACACATGTACACCATAAATAACTATTATGTATCCACAATTAAAAATAAAACCCATGTATCGTTAACATTTTTCCAGTTTAGTTTTGTTCTTTTATTGGAACTTCATAAATTAGAATAAAAGACTTAGATTACTAGATAAATTAAAAGCATCCTAATTTGAATTTCTAACTTCAAATACCACAGGTCTTCCCGAGCTTCCCATTCTTAATTATTTTTGCATTCATTCTCAGGCTATTCTTTAAGATATGCCTTAGACTAAATATTTATGATTTCAAAAGCAGCCTTACAGGAAAAAAGTTTTAAGATACTTTATCTTCACTAAGATAGCTTAAAGACTGTAACAATCAGCAAGCATTTCATTTTTACAGACTAAGGGGTACCAACTGACTATTCACATTTAAAATCCAACGTGCAATTGGGCTAAATGTTACAAGAGCATTAAGAATTTTCATCAAGAAAACAACTGTTGAAGGACAAAATAATTCTTTATAAAAAAAAGTAAACTGAAAATAAAACATTCTGTTATTTAGTTTCACAAATTTCAAAAACAAAAAAAATGGAGATGATCTCAATGTGATAATTTTCATTAAATACCCATCTTAAAAGTACTAAATCAAGAAATTCTCTTTTCAAAGTATGCTATTAAAAACACCATTCCACTGAGTTTATTTTTGACTCTTCAGCTAGAGGAGGTCTGATTATGAGGAAAGCTTGGCTTATACATCTTAATAGGTGATTCTTCTACTTCAGTCTTTTGAGCTATCCTTCAGGAAGGTTATGAAGATCCTTAAGATCATCTCTGAAACATTAGCTACCAGAAAAGAAGAGCAACAAAAGGAACACGTAAGAGTTAAGCACAGAGTTTTGGGCTTGGGCCCTGACTTAGGTTAACAAGATGCTAGTCCTGCAGTAAAGACCAGTGGCTGCCAGCTTGAGCTCTTAAAAGTATCTGCCTCAAGTGTGAATCCCAGCTCTACCACCTAGCCATGTGACCTACGGAAAGTTACTTAAATTCTCTAAGCCTCAGTTTCCCCACATGTAAAATGACAGAACGGTCACAGGGTTATTTACATAATCCATGTAAACTGCTTAGCATATAACAAGTACTCCATAAATACTAATTTATATTGTGACAATATCCCTTTTATTAATTAAAGTCATCAGTGCTTATACCTAATAACCTGAAAAGTGATCTGGAAGAAATGGGGTCCTTGTAATCCTGATTTAAATTAAGAAAATCTTAGGAACTTCCTGCATTGAACCCAAATCCAGATGTGTTACTGATCTGGAAAATGGTTTTCCTAGGATCTAGTACTGGGTAAGGAAGTTGGGCCAGAGTCTGATAGTGTATAAGCACATAGCCCATTTTCTTAACTTTGTCCCTACTTTGGAAGCATTAATTATATACTGTTCAATAATGACACACTGGAGAATACATATTAAAATGCTTACATTTAGTACAGTCATCTATAAACTGAAGTATTTTTTTTTTTTAATAGGGAAAATGTCAAAAAAAATAGTTAAAGCATAAAAGTCAACTCTCAATTGAGAGTTTAAGGAGCAAAATTATCAATTTGTTTAAAAAGTAATTATTTAGATAAAGTTAACTTCCTTTTTGACACAATCTGAAGAGAGAAGTACAGGAACACAACCAATTTCCCTTACTACTTGAAACATTTTTTATGCTATAAACATACTTATTCGAAAAGAAAGATTATTTTTCGGATTACTTTTAGTAAGGTGGCATAATTACGCTACCACGGGTATCTTTTTACCCCTTTGGTCTTCAAATGAGTGTAACAATAATTTAAAAAGGTAAAAGCTGATACGGAGTTTGGGCCTCAGAGTCTTAGAGTAGTACAGGTTAAAGAAAGAAGGCAGCTTCAATAAGACACGAGTCCTCTAAAAACATGGGCAAGGAGAAATGTCAACAAGCAAAGGCTTAAAGCAATTTCCCTTTCTTATTTCAGTTAATTTTACAAAGAGAACTTAACTCAAAATTCAATTCTAATAAATAATACAAATAGAAAACCCAATTTGACAAAATGGAAATATCTTTCATGTTACAAATATGGTACTTAAATATACTCAATAATTTACTGATTTATATTATACTGATTGAAAAATATGGTGCTCATCATCATTTAAAGTTTACTCAGTACTTCAACGTAGTTGCTAATTTATGTAAATAATTTATTATAAAAACCAACCAAGGGCAATTTTATTATTTTTTTTTACCATAGCATTTAGATAATTGCTATTGACATGTTTGGATTACTTAATGAAAAAATAAGCTCTTACAGGTAATGTGAAAAACGAATCTGTTCTAAAACCAAAACTTTACATTCTCGCGGACTGCAGAAATGACCTATTGTGCCTCAAGGGCTGAAGATGGTGGGTAGGAGTAGGAACTGTGTACCCACTTTCATTTCGGAGGCAAGATTATGCATATTAGAACACTGATTCACTGTAACACGACCATAACATTTCAAGTACATTAGAGAATTTTCATCAATTAGATTTTTTAAAATTTCAAGTAGAAAAAAGTAATTCCAAAATCTGATGTTCAAATCAATATTCAAAAAGTTCAGTCCCCATTCAGAAACAGATAAACAGTATATTTATTAAATGAGTTAAGACAAATAAACTTTACAAATAGACAAATAATAAAAGGCTCAGTGGCTAAAATAGATGGTAAGCATCATTGAAAGAAATCAACACCGTCACGGTATCTCAGTTGGCTTACACGTGTAAAAAGAAATTTTCAAAGAGCAATTTCACAGAAATGAAGCCAGTTTTTTTTTCTTATAAACAAATCACCATTTCTTGGTTCAAAACTGACATCTGTTATGAAAATTACCATATCACATATTTGTAAGATGACAAGGAGTAACTCATCTTCAAAGTGCAAGTAAGTCTATTTACAACCACAAAAAAGGCAATGATGAGGAGAAAAGGATTTTTAAAAAATATACAAAGATTAAAAACATTTGGGATGCAAAATTAAACAATTTTTTGGTTAGAGGATAAAAGAGAAGAAGTGATTGAATTACAGATTTCAGCTATACACACTATATAATGGGATCCAAGATCTTTTAACAGCTTGCTTGCATTTTTTCTACTTACATAATGCTCTGGAAATTTCTGGTAGAAATTACAGTGTCTCAAAGAGAGAAATACACACTAAGCATGTCTTGCTACTACTTCATGGATGTCATAAGATCCGTTTATGGATTAGAGTTGGTGTAAAAAGCCATTGCCTTGAGTTGAAAAATGAATACTGTAAAAGCTCAATACAAATCCTCCAAAGCACATGCACTTCTAAATCTTTTGGTAATTACATTCATATTTAAGCATAACCAAAATTAAAAAAAAAACTGAAAACATTTCCCTTTTCTCTATTCCCTATGCCTTGCAGGCTCTCCAGTTGATAGGGTCAATTTTTAGAGCTGAAAGGGTTCTTCAAGACAGAGTCTAGTCCACCACCCTCATTTAGGGTAAATGATTTTCCCAAGATCATGCAGCACATTAATGGCAAAACCAAGACTAGAAACCAGGTCTCGACTCCTAGTCTAATATGCTTCCCAGCATATCATGCTACCTCTTTTTACAGTATGATTTGCTATAAATACCTGATGAAGAAATATACAAATGCTGACAGAGCCAATGTGTTTCTAAGACTTGCAGAGGATTACTGCAAAGATTTGACGGAGAGAAAAAGATTTCCCCCACCTACCAAAAATATCAAGCACCATCAACTAAATGATTCTTTGCTGACTCAGCACTCTCAGATGTCATAGTAATCCTCGTAAACTTTATGTCAGCTTAAGGATTGTGTATCTGGTGAAATCCGGGCCCTAACACAATGCTAGTTTCTAAAGGGTAAAGACAGAGGCAAAAAAGGGAAGGTAGACAAAAGAAAGATAAAGAGAGCTAAAGAATCCACTTGGCTGAGAGATAGGTATTCCAGCATATGGTTAATTATTACATCTAAATATCTTTTTAGAACCTTTTCCACCTTTTTCATATAATCTCATTTTACCTAATCTGTTATTTGGCCACTTCAGAATTAAAATAAGTGTATCAAAGACAATGGTGGTCATTATATTTTTTTAAACTGTGAGAGCATTTTAGACAAACTAAATTCTATGAGAAATATGTCAAATGGCAAAATTGTAATAATTTTCTTAACCTATTAGATTACCACCAAGGAATTAAAGTGATATTTCATGGGGCTGTTACCATCTTGAAATTCATTCCAATTGTAGTTAAAGAGAAAAGACTGATGCACTATAAATGCAGAATTGAGTAAAGAAGCTGAAATGTCTTTTAAGAAAACATTGCCATGAATTTATTTTATAAAAGGGCATATTTATTTATGTTTACAAACAAGTTTCAAAAACAAAAGGAAAACATGTATGCTTCTACTTATTAACCTTTTTCAAAATGCCAACAGCCCTCATGCTGTATGAAGGTCTCTAAGGATTTATCAGAAAAATCAATACAGTTCACTCACAGTTCACCAAGACATCACTGAACTAACATGTTTAGACAAGAACAAAAAGGACTAAGGTTCTCTTGTAGTTTGATAGTTTGATTTAATTTGATTTGCCTGAAATAACAAAAGCATTTCAAGCATCTTTCATTATGTAGTTGATGTCCTGCATTAAACAATCTACTAAATTCTGAACAAAATGTTATTAGCAAGTTTTCAAAAATTTTAAAAATTAAACAGTTGTTTCAAAACCATTAAGTAGTAAATGTATTTAAGAAACTAATTAGGACAGATGCCATAACTTCATTAGAACACCACTGCTCATGTTTTTTTGTTTCGTTTTGTTTTTTTTTTTGTTTTTTTAAACAAAGCATTAGTGTTATCTATTTGGCTATTAGTATTAGCAATTTATCTACAATATTTAACAAGGTAAATTGTAGGCAAAAATTTAGTACAGTTTCAATAGAAACACCCCTTTTTTTTTCCTGAAAATACAGCAGTATTTGAAGGACTAATTTTTCTCTGCATCAGTTATAAGGAAGCTTCCCATCTATGAACAGGAACAAAAAAAGTATCTACAAACCTTGTAAACAGATCTGTATCATTTATAAACATAAATAATCCAAATTATTAACAGCCAACAGCAGAAATTAAAGTATCAATTCAATGATCCAGGGCTCTTTGTCTTGCCCAACTTTACTCCTCCCTCTCTCCCATCAAGGACTGAGATAAACTAAAGCTCTGCTAATACACTGTTCAGGACCATTCTTGGGTACTACTGATGATCCACGGGTCACTTACGCTGAGTTACTGTTTATCTGTCAGTTCATTTCTCCCACCCCCCAAAAAGCACCCTCAGTCTGGCAGAAAGCTTTGCTTTTTTTTTTTAAAAAAATAAATCTACATTCGTACAAGTGTGTCTTCTGTTGAAGTCCAAAGACAAGAATACTATCTTGTCCGTCACAATATGTGAAAAGACCCAGTTTCAATTTGTTTCTTTACAATGCAGCTAGTGTGTTAACATTCAGCTTACAATCAGAGTGATGTTTCCAAACTATGTAGTGGGCTTCCTGGGGATGAAGAGGTAGCAGACTTGTTCATTTCTATTGTAAGGTGAATTCCACTGTCAACAGCATTGTTATTTTTGTTGGGAGAGGGTGGAGGACTGGAGTTACGTTTTGTAGGAGCATCATCTTCAGCATCAGTGTCATCAATAAGGGGGATATGAGGCTCTGAATCTTCTATCCTAAACTCAGGATGTGTCATAAAGTTGTGAATCGAACTTCTTGATTCCGGTTTTTCTAACCCTTCATATAAAGAACTACGAAACGCATTCACCACTCGAATCTGCAAATATCAGAAAACACAGAAAGGTATCAGTACACTATTAACTTAACTTAAAAATGGTTCATTTATGAGTTTGAATCCACAAACAGCTAGGTATGAGTGAATCATATTTGCATGTAATGCAGTGGAACTTGCAATACACTGTAAAAAAATGAATATTTTAGTAGGACACTACAGAACAACAAAACCACATACTCTAAGAATTAAGAGGTATAGAATTCAAAGTAATACTAAGAAAATTTCATTGTCACTGGCCAAAAATTTAATAGCCATTTTATAGGATTTTTTTCCCTAAGAGAACAAAATCAAATGAAAAACAAACAAAACAAAAACTTAACCATACACAAGCTTAGCTGATTTTTTTTTTCAATTAAAAAGAATGTATTTTTGAAAACAATTCAAATAAGTTAAACAAAGTCAAGCACAAAGGGTTACTTTTTATCATGCTAGGAATCAGGGTGTCACCGACTATGAAAAAGCCAAGCAAATATATGCCGAATGCCACAATGAACTCACATCTACCCCACTATTCCCTTAATTAAAAATAAAAATAAAGACAAAACCCAAATAAATATCTATAAAATGCCATTAAACAGCTATAAATGTTTGAGTATATGCCATTTATCTATAAAGTGTTAGTGTTTTTCTTTGTAACAGGATTAAAACTTAAATCAATTACTATAGTTCTCTGGAAAGAAAAGATTAAAAACAAAAACAACAAAATTCTTTGGGATTCTTGAGTGAAAAATTTCCCAAGAGGAAAACAGAAAGTTTTAAAGTTTTCTAGTATTTTTTCACCCCTAAACAAAACCCCAACAATTCACCTTCCTTCTCAGAAGTCTGCTGTATAAACCAAAGAGGTTAATGGGCAGTCAGACTTACAGCACACTCTGATGTTAGGTGTCATTGACCCAGTGCCATTCAGATTAAAAAAACAAAACGACAAAATCCAAGCAGTCAAGCACTTACTATATATCAATTCAAATACAGTGTTTGCTCTGATTCTAATAAAGCCTGTTTAAGAATGAAGATATTATTTACTCATAATGTTAAGAGAAGTAACTGATACTTTGACATTCTAGGAAAAAGATATGTCACCAAAATCATCTCATAACACAGTAATGAATAAATTAATAAATTTCTTTAAATGAACATTTTGAATATATATATATATATATATTTTTTTTTTTTTGAGACAGAGTCTCACTCTGTTGCCTGGGCTAGAGTGCCGTGGTGTCAGTCTAGCTCACAGCAACCTCAGACTCCTGGGCTCAAGCGATCCTCCTGCCTCAGCCTCCTGAGTAGCTGGGACTACAGGCATGCGCCACCATGCCTGGCTAATTTTTTCTATGTATTTTTAGGTGTCCAGCTAATTTCTTTCTATTTTTAGTGGAGACAGGGTCTCGCTCTTGCTTAGGCTGGTCTCGAACTCCTGACCTTCAGTGATCCACCCGCCTCGGCCTCCCAGAGTGCTAGGATTACAGGTGTGAGCCACCGCGCCAGGCCTTGAATATATTTTTTAAAAATGTAACATGGAGCTTAGGGCCATGTGCCCAACTTCTTTCTGATTATAACCTCATCTCTTCTCAGTCTTCCCTGATTTACCAAGCCCTGTTTGTAAGCTGCTTTAGTTCATACTCATTTAGCCCTTTATACAGAGTCTGCATAGCCAAGTGAGAAAAACAGAGGTAAATGTCTGGGTGTGAAGTCTGGCTCTGTCACTTATTATCTGAGGAACCCTGGTCAAACAGGTTTCTTCAACTATCAAATGGAAAATAATAAAGGTATCTGGCCTTATGGGGTTGTTACGGGAGATTAAATTAGTACACTACAGGCTTAGAACAGTGTTAGCTCATGAGTATCAATGCCAGAGCTTCTCAAATTTTAATGTGCACATAAATTAGCCTGTGATGTTGTTAAAATGCAGATTCTGATTCAGCAGGGGCCTGAGATCCTGCATTTCTCACAACCTCTGAGGTGATGCTGATGCTGCTGGTCCACAATCCACACTTGGAGCAGCGAGCATCTATTCTATATTGTCTTACAACCTTATCATATGCTATTTCATAATTCTATTCAAGTACAAACGTACTTTAGTTCCTTAATTTGAAGAATAGCAGCAAGTAATTTTCAATTTCTTTTATTGCTCTTATTTTCCTTTCCCTTTACTAAGAGGTAAAGTGCTTTATATCTGGAACACAAACAATGCTAGCACTAAGTATACCAGTATAATAATTCATTCCATGTTTTACTGTGAAATCTTACAATTCACATCTTATATGTGTGACATTTAGCAAGTATCCTGTCCTAATAATAAAGTTTAAAAAGCAAAAAGAAAACTTTCTAAAAAATACAGTTGGTGTCAGAAGCCAGTAGGCACAGAGGAGAATACAAATTGAAGATCGGCTGGCAAATTTGATGGGTGATGAGAGCTGTTCAAGATGACCCTGAAGCTGTTGCTTATTTGACGAGGTTTTGGTACTGTTGCTAATGAAAATAGAGAAACAGTTAAGTGATCTCTGTGTGTTTTTTCTTTTCTTTTTAAAAACAATCTGGGTATAGAAGGGAACAATGAAGGGGGCAATATATCCACTTTTTGAATATGTTAAATTTAGAAAATATACAGAGCTCAGAAGTCAGAGATTTGGGAGTCAGCAAAGCTTTAAGAGGGGCAGAGTGTAGAGACTGAACGAGTGAGGGCAACAAGTGTATTGTATATACACAATTACACACACACGCTGTGGCAGGCAAAACCGGATTAAATTCCTTCTTACTCAAACTTCAATTTTGGTGTACGTTTTCTTTTTTCTACCTGAAAGGATTTACTGAAACAGTATTAGAGACATTTTATTCTAACCACTGTACAAATACTGAAACTAAGCAACTGAGAGGATGGGTGGCTGACTTGTCAAGTAACTCTTCATTAGTGTTAAAGAGTCTTAAAAGCCAGGTTTCTGGGCTCCTCATTCCAGGTTCCTGGGAAGTCAATAAAAGAACATATGGGCATTTATTTACTTTATCACTAAACTTCACTAGAATAAAACATTTCCTAAGATTAAGGTTAATGCTTCCTTCTTCTGCCTCCTCTACAAAAGCCGCATTACTGCGGTTATAGATTCACAGCGTATTAAAAGGACAGCTCAGCAACGATCCAAAGCAATTTTCAGAAAACAGTTCTCACACGAGACACATACACTAAAATCTAGATTAACCAGAAATCACTGAACCAGATATGTTTTACTTTCTACTTATAAAGAACATAAGATAACACTCGTGATCTAAGGCATGACATTGAGCTAGTTTGCACTTGCTCTGATGTTTATTGCTTTCTATATGTAAAATTCTCACAGTACAGCAGCAATTCTGAGGAAAATAATAATTATGAGCATAATACTTTAGGTAAGTAGGAAACTATACTAATACCGTGAAGAATTCAGTTTCAACAGTAACATAAATAACTCTAATTATCCATTCTTGAAATCGAAGCCTTGCTATTTATTCAATTTCTAATGCAATTCCTACTTATTATCTACTAGACCTACCATACGCAACACACTATACCTCCTAAAATTATCAGAAATAGGAAAAATTCAATAATTTTGATGTCAAAATTTTTTTTGAAAATTATTCAACAGAGGGAAAAAACAGAGAAAAACACTGCATGAAGCATATAAGGTAAATAAAAAATCTAAGATGATTATAATAATCAAGAAGTAATTTTAAGAAACTGAAAATGATTATCAAGGTAAGCAATACATTAAATTTAAGTAACAAATCAAAACAAAATCATGTATCCTGCAAAACCACGCACTTTTCTAAATACCATCCTAATTTTTGACAGCAGAAAATACAAGGAGATAGCTCTAAAATACTAGACTATTTAATTACTAGCTGATATATTGTATTTTCTACAATAGATTGCCCATTTCTGATATTTGCATTCAACATCACTTTTACTATATGCACTAATTCAAAAAGAAATGCAATAGTAAAGTAAAAGACATTTCGCAACAAGAAAACTCTAGGCTAGTTTCCAAAGTTGGGTATTTGTATATTGAATTTTCTCAAGGAGAGACCCACCTGTGTAATATCTTAATTATCTGGAACAGGAGTTGGCAAACTTTTTCTGTAAAGGGCCACATAGTAAATACTTAAGGTTTTATAAGTCATACTGTCTCTGTCATAACTACTCAATTTTGCCCTCGCAGTGCAAAATTGCCATAGGTAAATATTTAATAAATGGGCATGGCTGCATTCCAATAAAAATTTATTTCCAAAAATAGACAACAAGCCATATTTGGCCCATAGGCTGTAGTTTGCTGACCCTTCACCTAGAAGATCAAATTTTCTCTCAACTTTTCATTTCCAGGAAGACAGCTATTTACTCGGCAAAAAAATATATTAATGGTGAAGACTAATATTAGAATGATATACTTTATAAACAAAAACTACAAAATGTTTTCTCTAGAGACATTTAAGAGTAAAGATCTGACTAATAAATGAGGAGAAAAACATCTCTCCAGAGATGTTCCAAGTCTAGTATATGACAAAGTTGAAATGGATTATTATTCCTTCTACTTGGCAAAGCAAGGACTCCAAATAAAGGTCAAAAGAAATTTGACATCTGCAGATATTTCTAACACTATTCTATATTAAGGCAAAAAACACAGTGAGAAAATGAAATCTTTCATTAAACGTAGGAACACTATTAATTAACTCTATAAATTGACTGATGCTGATTAGCGCCTAAGACAATGCTCCACCAGCAAGGTTGAAAGATATTTATGGTAACAGCAATATAATTACTGCAACTGTTAGTGTATAATGATAACCTCATTAACAAGATATGATTCAGCCCCTGGATACCGCCTCACATTCCGAGAACACGGGATATACAATAAAGAAGTAAACATCTCAAAACCTGAGGAAGCAACAACTACAAACCCTCCTCTGCCACTCTCTGAAGTATATCCCTACTTCCCTGAAGTCTAACACTATTCCCCTGGCCACATGGGCCCAGCAACTCAGAGGTTTCACATATAGCTGTGCATCAGAAAGGAGTGTGAGGTGAGCGTGCGGAGAGGTGTGTGTGTCTACATCTTAAAACAGTTTATGACTGAATTGAAATTTAACATAGAGCCTGGAACACAATTAAAGGAATATAGTAAATATAGTATACCTAAGCATGTGACACCCCTCTAAATGACAAAATAATTATTTAAAATATTGCTGAAATAAAAATGAATAGAACACACTCCACCCGTGAGATAAACTTATCAAAAAAATGTAATATGAAGCTAATCAGTAGGAAACAATCAGACAAATCCAGAACATAGGACACTCCATAAGACAATCTGGATTCTTAAGGAAAAAAAAAAGTCAATGTCATAAAAAATAAAGGCAGGTAATGGATCCAGATTAGAGACTAAGGTGTCAGAACACACACTGTCAATGAGCCTTTCTTGGATCCTGGATTTAAAAAGCTATAAAGGACATGGGGAAAACTGAAGAAATCCAAGTATGGACTGTACAGTAGATAACATGATGGTATCAATGTTAAATTTCTTGGGTGTGATAATATAGTGTGATTATACACAGGACTTCTATGCAGGAGTTCTTATTCTTAGGAGGTACATGTTGAAGTACTTAGGGATGAAATGTCATGATATTTGTCACTTTCAAATGGCTCAGGAAAAAAGTATATATTAATATATAGGTGGATAAAGCAGATATTATAAAGTAATAAGTGGTAAATCCAGGTGAAGAGCATTCATGTATTAATTTTTCAACTTGTCTGTAGGTCTGAAAGTTTGCAAATTTAAAATTTTGAAGGAAGGGTCTAGTCTTAGTCTGGCCCCCCCTTACTTTCCATTCCGGCTTCATCAACCCCTTACACATTATTACTCTTTTAGTACCAGCTGTTATCACTGAGGCCTGTTCTCCTCAACTGGTGAATTCTATCAAGGGTCAGCTTGGATGTCATCTTTAACTTTCCCTGACTTCTCAGGGTGGGCTAAGGACCCTGTTACAATCTTCTGTGTTTTACTGCCACGAAGAAATTTCCAACTACTTGTTTCCCTCACTAGACTGCAGGTTCTGGAAGTTCTAGCACAGCCTTGACATATGATTGGGCCTTCCATAAATGTCTGTGGTACACTTACCATCCAGAAACCCTAGAGAATCAGGCATAGTTTAAATCCACGGATGTTAGGAGGAGGAGATAATTGACATTGATTGTACCAGGCATAAGGCCAGGTAATTTATATTTACCATGTCACTCAGGTACATAATTTTTAAAAGGAAGATTCTTACCAATCCATGTAGGTAAATTTAATATCCTAATGTTTACAGGGTCAGTTTGTCCTTAGAGCACTTCTCTGCTCTTTGCTTTACATTATGCTGTCTCTGCTTATTAGCTACAGGCAAGTCATTTAAAATCCAAGTCAGTTTTCACAACTGGAAAATGGAAGCAGTTCTTATCCTGTCTGTTTTACAACATTGTTAAAAACATCAAATGAAAATTGCTTAAGCAAACAAAGAACAGACACTGAGTAAATAGTCTACACTGTTTTCTCCCTTAATTTCCAGCTTCCCAAGGTTCCTCTACTCCTTAACTGGATAAAGACCAACTGGAAAAGATAGTTCTCTGCCTACTACAAGGCTAACTTTACTTAGGTAACTCAGCAGATTTTTGGAGTGGGGTTGGGTTTTTATCTTTAATACCTCCAATATATTGAGAATCCACTATGAAATCAGAAGAAACTAATTCACAGTAAGATAATCTAGCTTATAAGGCTTTTTAGGGAGTTTGTAATTTACTGCAAATATGAAAGAAAATTTGTTATTCCAGTCAATTAATGAAAATTACAACATATAATGGTTCAATAATTAAGCAACAGTACACTCTCCCTATTTCTTTTGAAACTTAACATTTTTCTTACCTATCATGCAGTTTTAAACTGATTATACAAATGGAAAAAAAAAAAACAACAAAAAACCAAGCCATAAACATCACAGAACTTTGAAGTTTCCATGAGGAACCTACCCCCCTTTCAAAAAAAATTCAAAGCAAGGCAAACAGATTAAGAAGGCAAGCAACTGCTATATATACTAAGAACTTTTCTTCAGGCTACTAACTTATTTTCCAAACTGGACAAGATAAAAGTCAAAATACTAAATTCATTTTTATATTTAAAAATGCAATTTCCTGGTTCTGTTAGATCAGTTTCAAATCACATGCTTCTAGGAACCATGCAGTATAAACAAGTTTAAAAGCATATACTCAAAAATTTATAGTAGTTTCATAAATTCTAAGCTACAATTTTATTCCCCATCTTAACTGTTAAGAATTAGCACAGAGACAAGCTCACAGATTTCATATTTAATCTTTGGTTGCAATTGTTCCACCTGTTATCTAGCCCTCTAAGAAATAAAACAACAACAATGACAACACTTTGAGGTCTCAATCCACTTTACGAAAAGAAAGCTTTATGAAAAGCCTGAACAATGAATTTAAACATTAAGGAGAAAATGAGAAACGTTAGGTGTGTGAAGTAGGAAATGTTAATTTCATGCACTTAGGAACACACACTCACACCCCACAGTAGTAGAAGCAGTAGAAGAGGAAAACACTACATGTGTAGGGGTAGAAATATTTGTTACATCATGATGCTGGCTGGCGATGGAGGGTTGCCGCCTTAGAGCCCCCTGAATGGAACTTCCACTCTGGAAAGCATTCACTACATCCATCTGCAAGGAATCAGAGATTGTGACAGCTTGCTCAGCAAGAGAGAGAGAGAACAAGAGAAAGGACCATTCCATCTATCAACATATAAAAAGAAAAAGGCACTTTTTACAGAGCAGATAAATAGGCAAGAGTAGCATTTTGAGATGAAGGGGGGAAAAAGCTAGGAAAAAAGGAGCTTAGGGGCATATAGACACGTTCTTTCATAATCAGTTAAAAGTTTCATTCATTCCAGGCACCAGTACAATTTTTCAAAAGAATAAATTTTGTGGGTTGGGAAGGCTAGAAAGGAAGTTAAGGAGCACACTCGACCTCCTCCCCAGGTCAAAAGCCCTTGCTCCCAGCATCTCTCCTACCTCTCTACCAGGCCCATACCTGCGTCTGGATTCTGTTCAGACCTCTAAACCACAAGATTTGGCCACGCCGCAACTCCCTTTCAGCGTGATCAATCTCTTCAACATCTTCTGCTAATTCCTCCTCAGGTATTTCCTCCTTTTGTGTTCCATGACCAGCTTCTTTTAAGAATTTTAAGCGGCTAGTTGGAATTGTTGAAATAAGCTACAACACAGGGGAAAGAACTTAGAAATAAATCATATCAAGTACAGTTAAACTGATCAATTTACTACTAAAGGTGTTAAAAGTTGTGAGAGTAGCCAACTATCTTTACCAACGAAGCAATGAGGTCCTGTTGGTTAGTCTTTCTCTCCCAGAACAAAAAAATATTCTTCTCTTAGTGACAAAAGATTTAAGTTTGAAGGATAAAAAGTTTTCCTGACTGGAAATTAACCTGGTTACATTTTCCATATTTTATATTAGGACATTCAAGACAGTTAATTATAAAACCATGCTTTGATATGCAAGTTTATATTTCATTAATGCTGTTAAGAGTTCAGTGAGAAAAAGCATATCAAAATTTGAAAAATTATCAAGGTTACACTGAAAATAGTTCTGGTTATTAAATGTATTTATTTTTATAAAATGCAAACATTTAAAATTGTATTAACACTGACTGATAATGACACCAAACAGAAACAGATGCCCTAGGAAACAGAGAATACAAAAATCACCAATAAGTATGCATTAATATTAGCTTGTGTTAATAGCCACCTAAGGAAGCTGGGTTTATCGGGGAGAAACAAGCATGCGGTCAGATACGGAACTGCTCAGAGAACTTCTAGTCCAGCCACCTCATTTCACAGAGGCGAAACAGGCTCAGAGACATGGAGTGACTAAGAACCAAGGTCTCCTGACCACCAAAGCCAGCGCTCTCTCCATCATAGCACACTTAAAATCAATAGACAACGTCAACCAGACAGTAACTTAAACTTGTTGGGTATGTATGTGGTATTGAATTTCCTCTTCCTGAAATAGGCCAGATTATCAGAAAACGTTATGAAATAATCAGAATGGTAATCAAAAAAGAAATGTGGACCAAGTATGGGTCCTTTTAAATATCTCTACCAATAATTAGATAACAGAGTAAGAAGAGAAACCTCAGAACCTAGAAACAGAAGAAAAAGGGGAAATAAAAAGGCATAAAGATTGAGCTAAATTTAAGGAAAACCTGAAAGTTTGGTTTCAGTGACTTGCAGAATGACAGTAAGTTAGCTCACAAATTATATACTGTAACATATGTTAACCTTCCTTTATGAAAACATTAGCATAGATTCTCTACCAGTTTTACAGTAATAGGCTTAAAATGAACAATGTATATGTCATTACCACTCATCTTTAAAAAATAATGACATGCATTTGCAAGTAGGCTGCCTATAGTTAAGATGAGGTATATCTCATTTTTCAGGCATTATGTTTTATATATACACTGTTAAAGCTACTTAATCCTAATAATCTAAAACATCATTCTGTGACACCTTTTTGCAGATACTATTATTTTTATAAAAACATTCTCTAAGGAAAGCTCAAGGTTTTTTCTGTGCTATATTTTGGATTAAATTACATAACAGAATGAAATATACATTATTTCTAAATTTCTATAAAAAAGCTTTATTCTGAAAATGTAAAAATAGGTCATAGAATAAGATACAAATATTAGCATCCTAACCAGTTATAAATACATCACCTTTAGTAAGAAATTAAAATAGTATTTGTATAGGCATAATTTGAAATAAACACACCACATCCTGGAACAAATACTACATAAAAAAAAAAAAAATCCTTAAATTCCCTTTCTTGACCTAGAATGTTAACTATTTAGAATCAAGTAACAGAACTGACTAAAGAAAATACACACTAAAAATTTTCAAAAAAATCACTTTAGGCTTGTACAAAAACTGATGAGATTTTTACCTGGCCCCAGAGTAATGTTCCCATTCCTAGGAATATTGACCATAGCCATTGTTCTATTGAAAGTTCTGAACAACTGAAAGGTTTTCCACCAAATTGCACAATTATTATCTGGAGGAATAATCAAGAGTAAGTTTATTTAAATCGCTTAAATTTAAAAATTCATATACTTTTTAAAACACCCAAATTTATGTCCTTTAGATCTCAAGCTGAACAACCACTATTCTGACAGTGTATTACAATAGTCACAGCTGAAAACAAGGCAACTGAAATAAAGTAAAATCTCTGCCCAATATTTTAAATGCATGCATATTTCATGTTCAAATTATGTTTCTAAAAATCAAAAATTCTCATGATCAAGAATAACTTTATACTGTTTCTGATATAACCCCAAATAACTACATGTCCCTGTATTTAGTATAATTCTTTAAATAATTTATGCCTTTCACAAACAGTAGTATACTTTTGTAGAAAAGACCATATGTTATGGAATAGTGAACAAAATACACAATCTTTTTTTCCATTCCACATAGTTGTTCATTCCTAGTTAACATTTAGATGTGTCAGGATAAATATGAATAGACTTACAGAGAAGAAAAGCAACTTGAATGTTTTATGAAATATGGGCTAGCTCAGCTGGTATGCCCTCAGATTTGCTCTCCTTTATAAAGAGAGTGAAGTCCAATGATGTGCATAAATTAAAATTCATAATACAGTGATATGCTTCCCTCCTTATTAAAAATATTTTTAAAGTTTCAAATTCCATTCTTTTTAGCTCTACTTTATTCTAATTCAAGTAATATATATTTATTTGTTAATTCTACTATTTTTTAAAGTCAAGATTATTTGTATACTTGTACAGATAAAGTCCCAACTGGTTTGTTAGTAGCCCAATCAGGCAGATCATAACGGATTTGACAATTGGGTCTGGATTTTAATAGAGATATAAAATTGGAATAATTTTCTTTTGTAAGCCAAGAAAATAGTAAGCATGAAAAAGTCAATATTTATTTGTACAAGTGTTCTTAATTTTTTTCATTTAAACTTTATCCTTATTTTGGTATAGTGAGGGATGTGAAAAGAATATTAAGATGCTGGGGAAACGAATCAATAATGTGATGAGCTGATTAACTTCCATAAGAAAGACAAACCTTTCATTTAAGAGTTGGAAGAAATAAAATCGTCTAGTTAGTTGTGGCATTTACCTCTAAAAACAAGAGACAGAGTTTCTATATTCTTTAATATACACCTTGAATCAACATGATACTGTACACATCAAGGCAACAGCTCCACACACACAGCTGTCACGTAGTTTCTGGAACAAACTACCTTTTTACCTAATGTCTCCCATATAATCAAATTTGAAACTATCTTTTCCAATTACCCACCTGTATAACAAAAGTGCCCAAAACAATTGTGCAGAAGATGGCATTATTAAAGATTCCTTCAAACACATTTCTTTCACCATGAATTTTCCGGGCATTTATTTCATTGAAAAGTTGCATCAGCACAAAAGTATTAAAAACAATAGTATAATGTTCTGAAGGAGGAGCATGCAAAGGAGCATTTCTTCCACTATCAATATCAAAAAACTTTTCTCCTGAAAGAATGAAAAATTACTGTTTTGTAATTATCATATAAAATAATTTAACATTTCAAGGTTAACATTTCAAGGAAATATACAACAATAAAACTTAGCCAGAGCTTTTGTTTCATCTGGAATGACAGTGTGGAAAGAGCTGGAAGGGATCTGGGATTATCTAGGACAACTCTCTTGTTTTATAGATGAGAAAACTGAAGCCCCCAAAACACTACATTGATTTGCTTAAGATCATATATCTAAGTTAGTGGTAGAGCCAGGATAAGACATCAGAACTCATTCCCCCCACCAACTACCTATCATATTGCCTCCCAAAGTTTACTAAGGACCTACTGATAAGCAGGAGAAAATTAAAGATGAATGGGAAGTCAGGAATAGAACTTAGGTTCTTGAAAAATTTATAACATTAAAACATCTTGGATGATATCATTATAGCTTGGAACAGAAACAATTAACTGAATCTTTATTAGACACTTAATTCTTACCAGCAAATAAGAGTGTAAAGACTACTACGAGTTGATAGAATGCATGACCCAAAATATTCTTCATCATTGTGCGTGAAATGAGAGGCTTATTTCTACCATAAGGTTTCCGAAGCAAGAGAGACTCAGTGGGTGGTTCCGTTGCCAGAGCCAGGGAAGCCAGCGTATCCATTATGAGGTTTACCCACAACATCTGCACAGCCTTAAGCGGTGAGTCCTAGAAAAGATACGTTTCCTAATAGACATTCACAACTATTCAGGGACTCAGTAATTCTCAGGAAGCCTTGAGGATTTAAAAACTTAATGAACAGAACAGGATTATATTTTTATATCAATTAACCTAAAATATTAAGGTTCAGCTTATTTAAATATTTAAGTACTTTAAAAAGGCAGATTGTACACATTTTTGCTTTAAAATAAACAAGGTTTAATAAACAAATCGTCACCTACTTGAGTAATACAGGCGCCCGTGAAAGCAACAATCACTGCTACTACATTAACAGTAAGTTGGAACTGAAGGAATTTTGAGATGCTGTCATAGACATTTCGTCCCCACATAACTGCTTTAACAATGCTTGTAAAGTTGTCATCTGTGAGAATAATATCAGATGCTTCTTTAGCTACGTCAGTTCCAGCAATACCCTGTTAAAAAAAATTCTGTGAATTATTCTTTCTTTCTTTATTTATTTGTTCTGAGACAGGGTCTCACTCTGTCACCCAGGCTGAAGTGCAGTGGCACAATCATAGTTCACTGTGACCTTAGACTCCCGGGCTCAAGTGATCCTCCTGCCTCAGCCTCCCAAGTAGCTGGGACTACAGGCATGCACCACCATGCCTAGCTAATTTTTTTGTTTTTGTGTGTGTTTTTTTTTTTTAGGGATGGGATCTTGCTATGCTGTCCAGGGTGGTCTGGAACTTTTGGCCTGAAGCAATCCTCCAGCCTTGGTCACCCAAAGTGCTGGGATTATAGGCATAAGCAATCATGCCTGGCCAAATTCTGTGAATTACACTAAATCTTTTAAATATAATTTTGAAATATTCAAAAAGATAATATACAATTAATAAAAATTTTACCATTATACCTAATAAATACTGATTTAAATTTATGCTAAAAGAAGGTAAGATAGTTATTCTAAGATACTGCTGATAAAGATATTCTGGCTTAGCAGAGATCAAAGAATGAAGCATTAAAAATAAAGTTCAAGTTGGGTTAAAAATGGAGGAATGAACAAAGGCCATTACTCAAGCTCCTTCTAAAAGTCACACAAAAAGGTGTATAAAAAAAAAAAATTCACAAGACAAAGTTAGAGGGAAAAGACATTCTACCAGAACAAACAAACAAAAAACAAACAAAAAGAAACTTACAGCCTGGAAATCAGATAACCAAATGGGTAAGTAACTCAGCAGACTCAAGAAATCTGACTCCTAAGCCAATGACAGGGCAAGAAGAGAAACAGTTTTTTTTTTTTTTTTTTTTTTACACTACAGAACCCTCCCTAAAGCTCAGGACTTGACAGTATCAGGTAGCACTGGAAGCAGCAGTGAAGGCAGGAATAAAAAAGGAAGATCTCTTGAAAGTCTATTGAAGACACTGGAGATGCCCTTAGCTTCAAACTACTAACAACTATGTTGTCAATAGAAGAATGGGACAGATTAAGAAATCATTGATTAATAAAAATGAGTGACAACTATGTGTAACAGATGAATCTCACAAACAATGCTGAATAAAGAAGATGGGCTCAACATAACACATATAATTCTGTTGTACAAAGTTCAAAACCAGGCAAAAGTAATAATTTTCAGAATACTGGTCCTCTCTGCAGGGAGACAGGGCAGTAATTAGAAGGGAGTATGATTCATTCATAAAAATTATGAAAAAGTTTAATTCTTATGAATCCTGCTATGGTTTGAACGTGTCCCCCAAAGTTCATGTGTTGAAACTTGGTCTCCAATGCAACGGAGTTGAGAGGTAGGACCTTTAAGAGGTAATTAGGTCATAAGGGCTCTGCCCTCATGAATGGACTAATGTCATCATCCTGGGAGTGGGTTTCTTATAAAAGCGAGCTTGGCCCCCTCTTGCTTTTGTGCTCTCTTGCCCTTTCACCTTCTGCCATGAAATGACACATAGCAGATGCTGGTGCCCTGCTCCTGGACTTGTCAGCCTCCAGAACTTTGAGCCAAAGGAAATCCTATCGTTCACAAATTACCAAGTCTTACGTATTCTGTTATAGCAACACAAAATGCATGAAGACGAATGCTTTCTCGGGAAGCAATTGGTGTACATGGCTCAACTAAATGAGGAAGTAAACCAAAAAAGACGATGCCATTGAATCCAGGAAGTACAAGATCCAACACAAAGGAGAAGTAAAGGAAATACCCAGGTGTGGAGACTAACTAACAAGACAGCTATGGCCATGCAATAAATCTAGCAAACTGAGTCCTGATTAAAGCATGTCAAAAGATGTGAGACAGGTATCTCTAATGGGGTGAAACTAGTAAAAGTGCCAGATGTCTCTGATGTATTGAAAGCAGAATTTGGGGATGAATTAGTGTTAAGTACATAGAAAAACTAATTATAAATAAAAAAATACATAAAAAGGAAGCAAATAAAAAAGACAACTTATAGGGAGGCAATACAAAAAGTTGTGCAAGGAAGGAAAAGTAATTATACAGTAGACCACATGGCTCAGCTTGGAACAGCATTTACAGTCACAGTAAGGACTGAATATTGACCTAACATAAATTATGATGTAACCCTACTGGAAGAATGATGGGATAGGCAGCAAGCACAGATGTATACAGGGTGAATGTGGTAAGGGTGCTTGTGTATGTGTGCCTGTGAAAGCACTAAGTCCTCATTTTCCTTAACGAAAGTCAGTAGCTAATGCCGTACACTTAAAACATCAAAATCCACTAGAATCATGAGATTCAGAGATAGGAAGGTATACAACTAAGTGAAAGAAACAGCTAAAATAGCTGGTTTCCTCTGGGGAGACAAAAATTGGAGTGGAATAGATGGTATGTAGCAGGGGACTTCATTATTAAGTCCTACAGAACTATCTGACTTTTTAAATGCTATGCATATATTGCTGATAAACACAAAAACAAAGTTCAGATGAAACTTTTCTCAAAATACTCAATGAAGAAACCATCTTAATTTAGAATCTTAGCCTCTAGCTCCTAATCTGAGTATTTTACTGTTAATGTGCAGCATATTTAACACGTCCAAGCTCACCACAATTTCCTCATTCTAATCAGGCCCATATTTTACAAATGCCATCACTCCCCTGTTCCAAATCCTTAAAATTTTAAAAGGTAACTCTATGATGTTAATTGGTGTCCAAATAAAAACTAGTTCCATGGTCAAACAAGTGTGGGAAACTTTCAATCAAAAAAAGTTAAACAGCTTTTTTTATGAGCTTCTCAGAGTTGTGTGTTAACATGCAGTGCGAGTCTCTAAATTTATCTTACCTCCATCAAAAGTCTGCTTGGGAATATGCTGGTCTACAGGATAAACGAACAGATTCTTTATCTTGGTAATTCAAGGCCCTTTTCATGTGGCCCCGTGTATCCTCTCAGCTTGATAACTCACTGCAACACCACACCCTCTTCTAGTTAGACTGAACTACCTATATGTAATTTGCTGACGAATGAGGGCCTCCTGGCCGTACTTCTCTACATGCTCTTCTCCCTCCCTCATGTCAAATGGCACCTCTTCCAGAAAAACTTTCCTAGTCTCCACAGGCAGAGTTGAGGACTTTTTTCTTGAGACACTCAATGTATTGTGTTTAGTCCTTCGTAGCTGTCACTACCCCATGATTATTTCCCTGTGCTGTGAACCTTGAGGACGCAGCAATTATTCACCTGTAATGTTTCTGGACCACAATACTGAAAACAGCTTCTTAATATTTGGATAATGAACAAATGAATCCCTCATTAATTCAAATAAAGTTTAAAAAGACAGTATTTTAATTGACTTAGATCTTACTACCATAGATGCATTTGGTTATTGAAATACACCATGGTATTCAGTCTTTGATGACAAAAATTATCTCTACACTTGGGTAACTGGTTTTTTGTAAGAATAATATAATGTGACAAGGACTTTCTTTGACCAAAACTTGCTATGTAAATACTCATTATACTGTATTGTTTAGGGAATAAGGACAAGAAAAAAAAGGTCTGTACATGTTCAGTACAGATAGAACTACCCACTCCCTGCCACCGTGCATATTTTCGACCTGCAGTTGGTCGAATCCACAGATGCAGAACCCACAGACATGGAGGACTGACTATGCATCTAGATCACACACACTTTACTGATTGACTGATGAAGAGAAGATGCTCTAAAATACTATTTCTACCTGGAAAATAGGAGACATATTTAGAAAGAACTAATCAATAGTAGTATCTTGTGGGTAACTAAAAATATCCCTAAGACAGTAAGTTTGTCTTTAACTTAACAAACGCACAACCAAAGTAAAGTTCAAGCTTGAGCAAGAGTGGTTTTAAGTCTAAGCCATTAAGCATTTATTCTATTTTTGAAATAAATTTAGATTTTTGATGTTATTAAAGGAAAAAAAAGTAGTACAATTGGGCGTAAACCTTCAGAGCTTAAAAAAACACAAACCAACTAGTCATTGTACTACTTTTTTTTTTGCATTACTATATTTACCTGTATTTATTTAAAGTCTATAGTATCTGTCTTATACTCAGGTTTTGGGAAGAAAGCTTTTTTATTTTAAAACACATTCTACATAACTGCCTTCCTAGCCAGCTGTCTGGATGAAAGCTGCAATAAGAATCCTGCTAAATGCTCAGGAGTAGCAGTGAGTGATCCTGTGTTCCTAAAGGGAATGATCTTGTTTGCCTAAAGCAAAAGGAAAAGTGCTTAATTATTCCTCATCTCTTTTTAGGTACTCTTCCCAAGTCTTCAAAAGCTTTTACCAATACAACTGCCAACTGTATAAATTTGGGATGAGGTAGGGTAGATCTTGGATTCATTGCTTTTGATTGTGGGAAGTTTACCCATGTAATTTCCTTTTCCCATCTCTCACTCCTGTTGAAAGGCTGCCACCATGGTAGATCTTCTAAATTCCTATTTTAGCAGCAAAATATCAGGGGGACAAATTATGCAAATAAACATTTGCACACATAAACATTCTCTCAACTAAAAACCTTTAGGGCTAGATTGTGATTCAGAATTCAAAGTCTCTCATATTTCAGAAAGATGAGGCACATACCCGTGTCATAAATCCTCTCCAAAAGTGGTGAGCACCCCATAAAACCCTATTAATATCTCTATAAATATTCACAATAGACAAATAACTGCTTCACATTAGTTCAGAACAAGTTTTGTAGCCAAATGAGTCTGCTGTAAATTTAGGTAAAAAATTTCAATTTTATGATAGTTTTAGATTTAAGAACTGTCTTGGATTTAAGAAAAATTATGGACTTGTATTTTCCAAAAATAGAATAAAACTGAAAGAAAATAAAATACTTAAATTGAGGACTTGGGGAAAAACAAGTAGATTTTTTCCCAAACAAAAAAGGTTACAACTATACATAAAATGATGACATTTAATTACTTCTTTTTTTTTTCTAAAGAGCCAGGGTCTTGCTCTGTTGCTCAGGCTGGTCTCAAGCCATCCTCCTGCCTCAGCCTTCTGAGTAGGTGGGATTATAGGCAGATGTCACTGTGTCTGGCTCTATTACACTTGAAAAGACATTCTCAGTTTGGTGGAAGATTCTCAATTATATTTTTAATTTGAATACACGTAACTGTCCTAAGCCTGTGTCCTGCTTAAGAGGGCTGTGGTAATGTTCAGATGAGATGACAGACATTTAAAAATTTAACAGAGTACAAGGTAAATGTATGATATTATTATAATTGTTCAAAAGGAATCATCTAGTCAGATTTCATGTAAACTGATTAGACTTATAAACCAATTTGAGCTTATTAATTATCCCTCAAATTAATCTTGAGGGACAGTGTTTAAAATCAATAGTAATTTAGTCAACAAATAAAAAAACAACCCAACCAGTAAATTACATCTGAATACTTGAATAAGTAAATTCCTACCATTGCAAATCCAACATCTGCTTTCTTTAGAGCTGGGCCATCATTTGTACCATCACCAGTCACAGCTACAACCTGGCGTTGTTCTGAGACAGTGCTGTCAATTATACCTTAAATAAAAGTAAATATTTGTGCTGTGAAAAAATTTTCTTTAATATGGTGATTCTGAAGAATATCCTGACTAGTCAGTTTATAGACTCAAGGTTAAAAATAAACAATTAAACAAACATAAAAATGGAAACTACTTAGATGTTACGTGAAGACCAACTCCAGAAACTATGGTTATATTAGGAGCAATATCCTGTTATCACTGAAAATAAACACAATTCATCTAAGATATCAAATGCATTTAGATTTTATATCCATGACTCAATCTAATATTCAGTATCTATTATTATTTTATAAAACAGAGCATATTTCTGTATTAAGAAATTGTGAAATAACGATTGTGAAAAATCGACTCACCTTTAACCAGTGTATGTTTATCAGTTGGAGATGATCTTGCAAGTACTCGAAGCTTTGGCCAAATCTTGTCTATCCGCTCTTGCTCAATCTATAAATTTTTATCAAAGTTAAAATGTGCCCAAACCTAGTTTCATAAATCCAAATTAGCTATCTAGCATATTTATCAGCAGTTCTCAAAGTGTGGTCAATAGACTAATAGCATAAGGAACTCCTGGGAACTTGTTAGAAATGCAAATTCTTGCGCAAGGCCCCAGGTCTACCTTAGCTGGGGCGGGGCCCAGCAATCTGTTTTAACAAGCTCTCCAGAGGACTCTGATGCATACTCAAACCTGAAAACCACAGCTATATGTATCACTGTAAGACTAAATTTTAAAAATCCCTGCAATGTTGGTGAAAATGGAACTTCCATAACTTAGCATAAAAAACAGAGAGAGTTTGGTTTCCCCTAAAATATGCCCCATAAGCCTTTCCAAACTCATCTCCTATTACTCCCTTATATGTACTGTACTTCTGAAATTGGCCTAGTCTCACCGCCAGTACTTTCAGAAAACACAGCAAGAAATGCTCACTCCCTTTAGAGCTAAATTTTTTTATTATTTGTCAGTTTTATCTCCTAGAATAATAATTTTTGGCTTCTTAAGGTGTAGCTTGCATTTATTCATGCACGGTGCCTAACATAATGCATATTCAGTATGTACATGTTGAATGAAATTCATATACTAAAAATTTGTCAACTAAAAAAACTAAAAAAAAAAAAAAAAAATTCTTACCTCTCCCTTTTCATTTCGTATTCTTCTGTTAAAGTCTTTACCTTCTAGGCACAGAAAATCTTCCCCAGGATGTAAAATACCACATTTAGTAGCAATAGCCCGAGCAGTATTAATATTATCACCAGTGACCATCCGCACAGTAATTCCAGCCCTCTGACATTTTTTTATTGCATCTGGCACCTGGTTTACATAGAAAAAAAAAAATCTTATTATGAAAGAAAATCAGTATTTCCAGAGGAAAAAAGATCCCATTGCACAAATATGCATTACTTTATAGTCCCACAAATAATGACAATGACATAAATAATGACAATGATACTGACTGATTTCATCTCAAGATACTGTTTCTTGAATTATTCCTAATAATCTCTCCCTTCTTATTCCACGGCCACAGTCTTAGCTCAGGCTTCATTTTCAGTTGTCATCTTACTTAATTTGTTTGCATTATTTATTTACTGAAGGTTTTTTAAAGCACCTTTTCCCTGTGGTAACTACTACGCAATTCTCTTCTGGCTGGATTTCTACTTTTCTGGTTTTACTGCCCAGATCACACCAGAATAAAATGTTTTGTTTTTTTTTTCTTTACGGTTAAGGGAGGTTTTCATTTTTTTCCAGTCCATTTCTTTCAAGGGTCACCTGCTGCCATACCTTCAATTACCATCTATATACTAATAACTTTCAAATCTACATCCTGTCCTGACCGCACCTGTTGAAAGCAGGATTCACAGTTCTACCTGTAAAGTGGGTATCAATTCAGGTTTCCAAAAGGGAAACCATGTTTCCCTTACCTATTTAGCGAAACTTAAGGGTCATCTCCCTTCCCCTACATCTTTAAGGGCCAATGAGTCCTATGGATTCTACCCCAAATCTTCCCTGAATCATGTCTCTGCTGTTTGGTGCCTGACCTATTGCAATGGTTTTTTAATTGGTAGCCCTGCCTTCATGTTTGTTCCTCCTTTAAAAAACCTGATATACTTGATGGTAGAATCCTTTTTCTAACGCTAATATACTTCCTTAAAAACATATGATTCCTCAACTGTTATACACAAACCATAAAGTTCTCAGTATAAAAGAGTAGCCTTAGAATACTTTTCCAGATTTATGTAAAATTTTTCTGTCTTACACACAAGTTGATAGATAAATAGTGAACATACTATTTCTGTGTCTCTGCTACTACAATTCTCTTTTGCTTAGAAAATCTCCTCCTGCTCTTCTCTAACCAGAAAGTCCATACTAATCCTACTAGAGCAAAGACTGCAAATTCAAATGCCTACAGGGACATGCAGGTAACATAAATGAGGAAAAGATGCTGAAAATAACAAACCCGAGATATATGTCTAATGAAAGAGCTACTCAGCTCTAGCCTATTTTTGCCATGGTGGACATGAGAGCCCAATGTTAACAGAACCTACAATTTCGAGAGAAAGAAGAAACCCAGATTTGTTTGTAATCTCTTAATAGTTTATGTTGTACACACATGCGCACGCCAAACTTGAGTGCAGGCTAAATTTGGCCTGCAGGCTGCCTGTTTGCAACTTCTACTCTGTAATAAATCCAATTTAAATGTAATTTCTCGGGAGCTTTCTTGGTCTGCCTACCAGAGAAAACTGCACCTTCATCTTATATAAACCTCTATTATAGGACATTACATATTATAGTTATTCGTTTACCTGAATCCTCAGCAAGTCAATGAGCTGCTTGAAGGTAGGATCTTTACCTTATCTCTGAATCACCAATGCCTAGTACAGTGCCTTTC